CGCCCGCCGGCGGGAGGGCCCGTGACGGCGGCGGCGGCCCCGCGGACGGAGGGGCGGGCTGGGGCGGCCCGTCTCCCGAGTAGCCTCGGAGCCTCCGGGTTCAGGTCCCGGGAGCGGGAAATGGAGATGGCGGGGAGCGGGGAAGGGCCCCGGGGGCAGCGCGGCGGAGCTGGTGGGCCGGCGGCGGGAGGAGGGCGAAGTCCTGCCGCCGTCGCGGCTGGGGGAGAGTCAGGCAGCCCCGACCGAAGTCTCCGAGTCCTCTCCGGGGCATAAAAACTTACTACTCTGCTCGTAAAAAACCTTATTTTGGGTGGAAACGTCCGAGGGTGCATGGAGTCTTATGTAGTTTCCTCCTGGTGTTTGGCCAGGTGCGTGCTGCACGACCACTTCTCCCACTTCGTTTTCCCCCCCCCTAACTTCTAACTATTGATAAGGAAGGAAAGCGGTTGAAATCTGGTGTGACTCCACCGTGCTTAGAGACCCACTGTCTTTGTCTTAAATCCCAACTGGCTGATAACTTGTGAAAGCTGATTCTTAAAGGATGGGTTGTCTGCTTTGTTACCTGGTTTGTGTTGGTATTTACCAATTTAAGCACTAACAGGGATGGATAATACCAAATGCTCTGTGAACACTGGAGTTTCTCAGGAGCACAAATACCTCCAGTCATTTGGCATCTGTATCAGTTGATAATGCACAGGGGTGCCAGTTGTTGCCCCCATTTCACAATTGCCTGGTAGGGTAACAAATGTTAATTCTGCCAGTAGAGTTTGTGTCCCTGTCGTGATGGGCTTGTTACTTGCTTAATTCCTTGTGTATCAGGGAAAAGAATATATAGATCGTAACAGAACAATGAGGTTTCTCCCCTGACTGCAAATGCCAAACTGTAAAAGGTATTGGAGTTAGCACTGGGCTGTTGTGCAGGGGAAAAAAGGCTTTGTTAACAGGTGCTTTCTCCTAGTTTGGTCGAGCTCTGTGTTGGGCAATGTGGTCAGATTCTTTCTTGGGTAACAGATAAGTCTCAGGGCTTTTTAGGTTAAAGGAAAAATAAAAACAGAGATGAGGAGGCTGTAACTTCCAAATCAAGCACAATTTTTTATGTTCCTCCAAACAAATGCTGCTGCTGTGGTATTCCTACCACCTTGACCCTCCTTGCCAACCAGGCTGAGTTCTTGTGATTCTCAGTAGCCTTCAGGGAAGGCTCAGGAAGCTTAGTCCTGTCTGAACCTATGTACACTTTCAATCTCTGCATCCTCCTGTAGCAAGAAATTTCTCTAGACTTGGTGTGAGATGTATATCATCAGGAGTCTCTCTATTTTGCATAGGAAAGACAAAATAATTTTCCCCATTAGGTTTCTCTGAACTGTTAGTGACTTCACATGTTTCCATAATATTATTCCTCCTCTTTCCACCTGTCATCTCCCTTGCATCTGTGTTCAATGGAACTATCTTTCTTCCTCTTTCTCTGCCTGCTGTCTGTGCCTGTGCTCCCTTCTCCTACCTCCCCTGGGTAATCAGAAATGTAGTAGAGCCTGTGAGATGCAACCAGAAACCACCTTTAAAGAGTGAGTGAACAGTTACTCATTCAATTGCCAATTTGGAGTCCAATCCATAGGGACCTAATTCTATACCATTACTATACTGGTATAATATTTGCTCACTGTGCATCACTTTGCATTTACCAATATTGAATATTTTCTGCCAGAAATCATTCAAGATGGTGAGTTATTTCAGCATGTCTGCAGAGTTTTCTCAATAAATAACTTATAAATGCATCAAGGAACAGAAATCCTAGCCTAACCCCTTTTGTGACCTTACTGGTAAACTCCCTCACAAAAAAATGTTAACTTATTCTTGTTTTTTAGGGATTTAAAATCTGATTCCTAATACAGGAAAGATTTCCCCCCTTTTTTAGGGTACCAGTTAGCTGCTTTGGGATTTTTCACTAGGAGACTTTAGTCAAACCTTAATTTTGAAAAATCTTCTTAACAGTTAACCAGATCACCTAACCACGCAGGTGTCATTTTTTTCAGATATTTAATTAAGCTCGTCTGTATTCTTCAGAAGTGGTGTTTCATTCTTCCCCCTTTATTGTGAAGATGATATACAAGATTAAGTGATACGGAGATTGCACTCCTCGGATTCTGTTCAGTGGATGCTACCTTTTCAGTTCAGCCAACCCTACTCTGGCAGTTAGGGGGTTTTCATGGAGCCAAATCTGTGAGCAGAACACATTCTGGTTTTGCTTCTGGCAGCAAAGATATGAGGTGTATCTGATGAGGTGCTGTTACTTCCTGTCTAACCCTGGGAGATTCTTATAGATTGACATCAGATGCAGCACTTGATTTCTTAAAAAACGATTTTACATAATAATTTTTGAAGGATATAATAAGATGAGCAGTTTGAAGTTCTTCTAACCTTTCCTGTAAAAACTGTTACCACTTGATTAAAATTCTGTTTGAGAAGTTTTAAAGTTTAGTAAGTTCCCTGTCTGTAAGAAATTCACTTATTAACAGTTGGTTTTGGGATAGACTATTTCCTGGGAAAGAATGATTCCAGGATAGAAACCTTGCTAATCTGTTATGTTGTAGATATTTAAGTAGCACCTTGTTTTGCTTTTTCTAATGTGATTTTCTCCTCTATACTCCTACTTCCTACTCTTTTTTTTTATAAGTTAGTGGTGTTATTTATTGTAAACTGTTAATTTGGCCCAGTTCTCTATCGTATGTATTTCATGCTAATGATGAATGGGACAGTCAGTGAAACATGACAGTATTACACAAACTATGTCTTTACAGACCCAAATGCTGTAATTCGTTCTTCCCTCCTTATGTTCCAATAGACTCCAGTGTTCTACAGGGTATGAAAATCTGCAGTGTCAATGAGAATATCATCAAAGAATAGTTTTCCTTTTAATTGCTAACATACTGCATTAATTTGGGACTTAGCATGATGCATTTGCTACGTACCTGTCATCAGGTGGTTGTCCATGAGAGGGATGGGTGGAGGATGGGACAGTCAATAAACACTTCATGGTTGAGTTTATTTACCTGTGAGGAAATCATGAATCTTCTCTCTAGCCTCCCCTTACAGCATTTTATGTAAAAAGCTGCTTAAATTTATAAGCAGCATCTTTCAGCCTTGCTAGGAAGGTAGTAGGTAGCTGAATCTGGATGGCAAAATACACTTAACTTTCAAAGAATTTTCAGAAGTTCTTTGCAACGAGCCACTAAAAACTGTAGCTGGCCCATAACAAAAACATCCAGTAAATTTGGATGCCTCCAAGAAAATCAGGCTTTGGGCTCTGTGCTAATGTCGATTTACAGTCCTGGATTAGCCCCTGGAGTGTTTGTTTGAGGACCAGGTATTGTCATATGTTTTGTTAAATCTGTATTAGCTTTGGGCTTTATTTTTAAGGTGAATTCTTGTCTTTAGAAAGCTATCCTGGTATTAGATTTAAAACATGTCAACCCTTCATCCAGTTTTGTTTGTCTGTGACTTACCAAAAAAAATTCTTTTCTATTCATAGCTCTGTTCTTAAAAAAATTTAGCCATGACTAAGAGAGAGGCAGAGGAGCTGATAGAAATAGAAATTGATGGAACTGAGAAACAGGAGTGCACTGAAGAAAGGTATGTACTGTCTTTGCTTTTTGGGGTGCTTAGGTTGCAATTTATTTATTTATTTTCTTTAATTGGTTTCAGATTTGTGACTGCACACACAAAATTTCGTTATTCAGATTTATTATTGGGTACTGTGTAATGCTTCAGAGATGGCCATGAGATGGATTTCAGAGATGAAATAAGTGGAAGTGTTTTCCAGCTAGACGAAAGAGCCAACTTTGAACTGGCAGAAGTAACTGGCTCAGTACGATCTCCGTAATCCTGCTGTTGATTGTTTCCAGTTTTTCAACTTTCTTGCTGGATATGAAGTTCTTAATTTTGCTTGTGCTCTCTTCAGTTTTCCTGCTTCGTATCTAATTAAACAGTGGTTTTCTTGAAGTGGAACTGTAGCCACTATAGGAAACT